GGGGCGGCCGGGGCGGGGCGCTCAGCTCCGGGGACCCGGACCCCCGCTCAGACCTCCCTGCGCTTTCCTGTGGTCGCTCCGCGGAGCACGCGAGGGGCACGCGAGGTGGAGAAGCCCAGGCCCGCGGGGTCCGGGCCAACCGGCAGTCTGAAGAGGGCGCCAACCTGCGCTGCGAGCAGGAGCAGGCTGCCCCTGGCGAGAGCACAAACCCGCGCCCCGGGGTCCTCCCGGCGAGGATGCGCCGGGCCGGCCCGGACGGCTTTTAAAGAAGTAGTTGTGCCGGGCGTGGTGGCGCACGCCTGTAATCCTAGCCGTCGATAGGCTGAGGCAGGAGGATTGTTGCGAGTTCGAGACCAGCCTGGGCTACGAAGTGAGCTCAAGGCCAGCCTCAACTGCATAGCGAGACCCTGTCTCAAAAAGACACACACACACACACACACAAAAGTAGTTGTGCAGAGTACTACTCATACAGAAGGGTCAGCGAGTCCCTCCTAGGAAATGGGTGCACCTTCAGACCGTGATTTCAGGTGAGGCGAATGAGACACACAGGCTCACACGGAGCGTGCTTTCTCTTATTATGAGAAACGCAAAATATAAATAAAGAGCAAAATAAAAGATAGTAGGAAATAGGGAGATCTTTCTTAAAGGGAAGGAGACCAAGAGATAGAGGGAGGGGGACAGAAAGGAGGGGAAGGGTATGGGAAAAGAAGAAAAATGGTAACTGTAGGAGCTGCTGGACCACACCGCCCTCCCCAAAGGGGCGGTGAACCCAGGACCTTCACCGCATCCTTCAGCTCCACCCCTCTTTCTTTCCTCTTTCCTTTGCTCCCTTTTCCCTCCCTCTTTCTCTCTTCCTTTTTTCGTTCTTCCTTTTTCTCTTCCTCCCTCCCTTCCTCTCCCTCCTCTTCCCTACTTTTCTTTTTCTCCCGAAAGTCACTACATTGCCCAGGCGGGGCTCCGACTTTCGATCCTCCAGCCTCAGCCTCCCAGCGCGCCTGGGTTGCAGGCGTGCGCCTCCATGCCCCGTTTAGAACATTTCTGGGATTTGGGGGTCACCCACGTGTAACAAATGCTCGCTTTCTCTTAGATGCAATATTGGAACTTAAACATTTTTTTTCCTCAAAATGGTTTAGACTTAGATCTTTTACTTTTTTTTTTTTTTCTCTAAATTCTGTTTTCCTGCTCCAACTTTGGCACAGAAGGAGGAAACGCTGGGGAGGGTTACTTGGAATTTGCGTGGATGCCGGGGTGATGAGCAAGCAACAGCAGAGGGTAAATGTCCTAGATGACCTACGACGGCTACTGCTTCTGGGGCACCTACTGTGTGCTACACAAGTCATGCTCATGCGTATTATTTCTTACTGTCCCTATAATCTCTGCAAGCCAGCGTCCTTATGTCCGTTTTACAGTTGAAGTCTCACAGGTTTCACAAGCAGGGCAGGAATTCCAGCTCCAGATTTCGGAACTCAACTCCCTAACTCCTGCCCACCACCGCCCCCTGCCCCGGTCTTGTCGTGGAGGCCCCTTTCCTCCCGGAGACCCTTTGCCTCGCTTGTTTATATCTTGTAGTGGTCTCTGTGTAGACAGGGGGGGACAGAGGAGGCGGCGGGCAGGAAATCAAGATTGGCACGTAGTATCTCATTTAATCCTCACAGGAAGTCCTTGAGGTAGGTAAAATTATCTCCTGTTGCAGAAGAGAAAACTGAGGCTCAGGAAACTGAAACCAAAGAACTTGCCTATAACACTGGATCCTGGCACCCAGCCTGTTTGGTCGCAGAAAGCAAATATTTCCTGCTCTAGAGCCCTGCCTGCCTCCCAAGGGAGGAGTAGGAGCGGTTTCCAGGAAATAAACACTTAGGAAATCCACTTCTAACCTAGTTATGCACCAGTGGCGTGGCTTGGTGACTCATGCTAGACTGTGGAATTCTCTTTCCAGGCGATGGGGTTGAGCAAGGCTGCTTAGACACCGACAGAGACTAGGAGGGCCACGGTTTTTGTTTACCGCATTCCGTGGGGGTGGATATTTACTAAGACTTACTGTGCAACAGGCTGGGTGTTGAAGGAAGGAATGGGAGTCAAAGATGCGCCCCTCCCCTGACCCCTCCTCTCCTTTTCCTCCTTCTCCTCCTTCTTTTTTTGAGACAGGGTCTGGCTGTGTCGCCCTGGCTGGCCTTGAACTCATGATGATCCTCCTGCCTCAGCCTCCTGAGTGAGGCTACCATACCTCACTCCGGACCTACCTTCTAACACAGGGAGAAGACGAGGACAGCAGAGAAAGACAGTGCATTTCCTGCTGCGAAGTCACTCCTTGCTAGGGATACAGACTCCTCATCTGCAAAACAGGGAGTCCAGTGACACCTTCTTTTTTTTTTTTTTTTTTTTTTTTTCCGGTTTTTCTCCGGTACCAGGAACTGAACTCACGACCTCACGCTTACCAGGCAGGCACTTTTGCCGCTGAGCTAAATCCCCAGCCCCAAGTGACACCTTCTGGTTGTTATTGTTGGGACCTTGTGACAACAAAACAGGGCCGGGGATGTAGCTCAGCGCAACGGCACCTGCCTCACCACCTCTCGGCTGGGAGTGTGATTCCCAGTACCCAAAACAAAGCACGTTGAAGCCGCACTGGTGTAGGTGGGGTTGGGGCGGCAGAATGTGAGCCCTTACGTTATGAAAGTGAGCTCCAGGCTTGTGCGGCACAGGGGCTGTCCCTGGACCAGAGGATGTGGTTATTTATCATCAAAAACTTCAGGAGCACAACGTCCTGAAGTCCAATGGGACCCAGGTGGCCACAGTGGAACTGTGTGGCCCCATCCAGCAGACGGCGGGCAACCCTGACCGGACTCTCCCTGTGTGGAGGTTGGAAAACCAGGTGGAGTAATTAGCCTCATTTACCTGCAAATATGATCTGCCCATCGTTTGCACCAAGGCGTGGAGGTCAGACAGGAGCTGTGTTCAAGCGTCCACCGCAGCCCTCTACTCCGTATGCAAGACATGGGTTCCTCTGGTCATCCCACCACTGCCAGAGGGGCCGGAAGTGCAGCCCAGTGCCCCCAAACAGTTTTCCAGTACTGTCTCTGTCAGGTTTTGCTATCAAGGTCACGATGCCTTCGTGAAAACCGACTGAGAACAGTTCCTTCTTTCTTTTGTGAAAGAGCTTGTGTAAAATTGGCATTCTTTCTTCAACATTTGGTGGAATTCACTCGTAATGCTTTCTTGGCCCGGAATTCTCTTCATGACAAGGTTTTAAATTACTAATTTGCCAGATGTGGTGACGCATGCCTAGTACTCAGGAGGCTGAGGCAGGAGGGTCACCATGAGCTTGAGGTCAGCCAAGGCTACATAGTGAGTTTAATGCCAACCTAAACTACATGGCGAGACCCTGTCTCAAAAAAAAAAAAAAAAAGGTTATTCATTCAATATTCTTTAAGTGATGTAAGAATATTCAGAATTTTAATTTCTTCTCATGTCAGTTTTTGGTAAGTTTTGTTTTTCAGAGAACTTGTCCATTTTCTTTAATGTATTTATTGCCATAAGGTTGTTTGTAATCTTGCCATACTATCATCTTTAGTAAAAGGCAAAAGATTTATATGATCTGAAGAGAAACCAGAGTATCATGCTATCATCTTGTCATTTATTTTTTACTGAGAAACAATTCATATGTGATAGAGTATACCCTAAGTGTAAAATTGCCTGTGTGTAGTATATTCAGAAGGTTGTATGACCACCGTCACTGTTAATTCCAGAATATTTTCACTATCTTGAAAGAAACTCCATACCACCCAGCAGTCATTCTTGCTGTATTCCACAGTGATAGTGACAAACCTGCTTTTTCTCTGGATGGCTTTGCTGATTCTTGACCTTTCATGTAAGTGGAATCAAACAATATGTTCAAAGTATTCCTTTTTTTTTTT